TTTGCATACACCTGAGCATGCCATTTTATTAGGAGCCAGTGTTCCGTCTACAAAGATTTTATTGTTTATTCTGTGTAGGTCGACATTTTTTATGTCCATTATAACGGTCAAAGTTGATAATAAGGACAATGTGTACAGAAAATATCGACTGCGGTGAGTGGAAGGAGGACTCATGACCTGCTATTTGTCGTTTCGTTCTTTGTCTTTTCTTTTCTTTTTTGTAAGTGTTTTACGGCGCATGTAACTGCATAAAGTCATATGAGCGCGCGGGACTAATTAAACATTTTCAGTTAGTAAGAAATTATGTTGAATTTTGCCCGGGGGGTGGCCGAAGCCTACTCTTACCGATTTTGGACCACCAAGGGATCTTTAACGTGCGCAACTTGCTCACGGGACCTCCGAGATTTTTCGCTCGTCCGATAAAGCTAGGTGTAGATCTTTCCAACCATAAGATCAGGGGTGTGGCTGAAATACAGCAGTAAGAGGGAGCCAAGGAGTAGCAGTAGAAAGGCTGCAGAAAGAGGAGCCCAGAGGACATTTTTATCTCTCTCCTTTCATTTTTGAAAGAAGAGAACAGTTTCGCATTCTATCATTTTTACCTGTTGTGTCCTGGCGACTCTTTGTTTGACAAATGAACATGCAGCGGAAACGCTAGATATTGGTAGCCTTATCTTGTCATGTTCTTCCAAGAATCTTTTTAAAGCTATTAGCCGTTTTCTCTTGGTGTCAGTACATGCAATTGACTCGCGGACACCTGTGATCATGTTCACTCTCTTGTGTGTTGAAACTCCCGTCTCTCTCTCTCTCTCTCTCTCTCTCTCTCTCTCTCTCTCTCTCTCTCTCTCCCTTCCCCATTCCCGCTCTGTCTATTTCTTTCTCCCTCTCGCACTCTCTCCATCACCCCCCCCCCTCTCTGTCTGTCTGTCTGTCTCTTTCTATATCTCCGCCGTGCAATACGATGGGAATGTATATGATCACAATAATAATGAATATATGATCTATGCGTGTTCTCTAAACATTTACTCCCCACTCAGGATTTTAGCACAATGCAAACTGTACGAAATTTTTCACTGTCATCAAATCACCCACATTTTTTTCAAAAATGACGCCAAGGAAGCAAACAATCATTTGAAGCTAAACAAACACTACATTTTGACCCCACCTTTTAAATCGCCGCATTATGCTGAACAGAACGTCAAGTCCTGAAATAGCAGCACTAACCGTGTCAAAGTAAAGTAGGCAGATTGCGAGAGAGGAGAGGAAGATGCGCTGAGGAAGATGGGAGAAAGAGGGGGCCGAGGAAGAGTGCAATGAGCAACAGAAGGTTGTTAGCACAGGTGGTAATGGGCTGTGCTGTGGTGATCAGAAGGCGTGATGCTATTCCAAAAAATTCAAAATAGTTAAAGGACGGTGGGGGGGGGGGGGGGGGGGGGAGGGGGTGAGAGCAAATTGCTACAAATAGAGGAATGCGTCAAGAATTTAGTCTTTAAAAAAAAAAAAAACCCAAGTCCATGCATGTATTGTGCATGTTATGGGATGGTCACTAAAAGAAAGTTCATGGCACGTCTTAAACTTGTAAAATAAATGTAATAATACATGTACTAATCCTTTTGCATAGATGTGACAGCTGGACTCTAAACAAGGAGATGGAAAGAAGTTTAGAGCCCACTGAAATGTGGTATGTTAGGAGAACACTCAGAATGTCATGGACAGAGAGAGGGAAACAAAGAGAAGTGCTCCAAATGGTAGGATGTGAAAGATCTATGATCAGAACCATTGGAAAAAAGACAATTGAGATTCTTTGAAAAACATAAAAAGATCAAATGGACAAAAGAAACTGCTGCTGTCTGGAAAGATAGAGAGAATAAAGAGCAGAGGAAGACAAAGAACAACATTCACAAGTGTCCTGTCAATCTAAGCTGAATTTTTCTTCACGTGGCAGAAGATACTACAGGCTTCCGCTTTCGCAAGAACTTCAGTGTGTGATACGTCATCCCTCTAAACAATACCCAGTAAAAGGGAAATTAGAACGTCTGTATACCAACATTTTAATAAAGAACAACACAATTTTTTAACATGCTTTTGGCATTGAGATTTATTTCATATAATAATATTATAATTATATAATTTAATGAATCCTAAAAATCACACATTTCCAAATGGAAGATAAAAAAATGGATGTTACTGCTGTCAACAGAAACTACAGTATACACTGTACACAATTTGCGTTGTAATAAATAATTATGTACAATGTCACTAGAATGACTTATATTGATAAATGCCATCCAATATCGTCAAAGCTACAATGCCACATTGCAAAATCCCATAGAAAACTTACCAGCATATGTATATACATTATTTGTTATTAAAAATTGAAAACCAATGCCCAAGTTCATTGAGTAAAGCAAATAAGTTTTTGAGGTTAGTTAATCGAAGCACACTGCCACAATAACAAACCGTCACACAACACAGGGAAGAAGCAAGTGAGACAGACAGAAACAACAAAGAGAAAGAAAGGAAGAAGAAACTGCTGTACCAATGGCGTACTTGAACAACCCGCCAAGGCAAATATTTTCAGATAAAATTTGTAAATCAATGAAGAGCATGTAGTGAGAGGAATATTTGCTGATGTGTATTTTCCCACTGGAAAGATCAACATTAAATTTAATCAGCATTATGTCCTTCATCAAGGTGGGATGTATGTGATAATACTGTGGTGTAGCAGATGCATTCATACATACAGATGTATGAATACATATATTATATATATGTAAATCTATAGATATACAATATATCACTGACTATCATTTATTGTACTTATGAGTGGGATGCACAGAATATTAAGACATCCAGTAAATAACTGCTGAACCCCCCCCCCCCCCCCCCCCAAAAAAAAAAAATATAAATAAATAAATAAAATGTAACAAATTCACATAGATTCTAGATATAAAAAAATAATCCCACAAGGACAAAAAATTAACCTTTTTTTCTTACCAAAGCCATTTACATTCATTGCACAGTAAAACACTCTTATAACATATTAAACCTGGAAAAAAAATACCATGGAAGCTGAAAGCCCAAATTCAAACTTGTACTTCACCACCCTCGTTTAAAATTGTGATGGCATCAGTGGGAGTAAAAAAGCACCATGACTAAACAAAAACATCTGTGGTTATCAAAATTGAATGTTACGTGGTACTTACAAATTATATCAGGCTCACACCATGTAAAAAGCATTGCTGGTGTCATCACAGTCACAGAAACGGTGACGAAATTCTAGACACAGGTTCACAAATCAAAGTGAGCAATGATGGGAGTGACCCTGATTTAATTAAGTTTTCAATTTCTTCCAAAACAAGAAATATGGTAGAATTACCCATGCAAAATACAACTACTTCATACTGACTGTTCGGTACAAGACTCCACTTTACATCACTTATCAAATTGGCCAATAGCGGAGTCTGACAAAATACAGTCAATATGTGCGAATACAGATTACTTTAATAAACCTACTTCTAGTAGTTTTATTACTAAAAAACAAAAGCAGCATAATATATCTTAAGAACTAGACAACATTGACTGCCTAATGTGCCACTATTTAAGATTGTGGGCTTCTGCACATTGCTTAGAATACCGAATTACAGGAACAAACAACTAGAGAGTAACAGCAAAAGATTCTCTGAGTAAACAAAAGTCATGCACCTTGGGTAAAATATAAATTTGGAATTCTCATATCATCTGCAAGACCTGAAAAAGTTGTCGAAAAAGTAGATCAGAGTACAATATAATAAAAAGTCAAAAGCGCCAAGGCAACTGATGTTCTGTAAACTTGTAAATTACCATCACTCAACATTTTTGTCACAATTTGTCCATCTCACAAAACACTTGCATTAATAATAAAAAATGCTATCCATTGTGTAACATCTCCAGGTTCATCAGTTCATCAAGCTTTCACAAAGACAAAACAGTCACACCCAAAAAAAGAACTACAGCAACGATCTGTCAATATTCTGACATTGGAAGATACTGCAAAATGATTGGCACAGGGAAAATAGACTTTGTGTAGATTTGTAGGCGACAGTCTTCAAAACTGAACGTCTTGAACACAACGTAACCCAGAACATGAACATTACACAGTCAGTGTATCGTCAACACACATCTCTAGTCCACCAGAACCAGTCTTCAAACCCCTCCTTTAGACAAACAGTCGAAACTCTTAAAACACACAAGTCTATTTTAAGTATGTTCGCTGCACATTCATAAACTATGAAAAATACTGTAATTATGATAACAGTCACATTTGAAATGAAGAAGAATGCACTTTGTACAGAAAAACAAAGCACCACAGGGCACGACTGTAAAAAAAAAAGTACTGTACCAGCTTCAAAAAAAGTTGATTCATCAAATTTTGTTTAGGACAATGGCAACATTTCAAGCAAAGGGGGCGATGTATTCCGTATACAGGAAATTGTATATCCAATCACAGACAGCAGAGGAAGACAATATGGCATATTTGTTCAGAGTTATACAGTGGAATCCTGTTATAACGAGAGGGAGGGGACTGGTAGGAAATGTCCGTTATAGCAGGATTCTCGTTATAAGGGATCCAGTAATAAATTCAAAGGAAATAATAAAGTAGGCCTAATCTATGAGCATGGTGTTCTGTTTATTTCTTTTTGTTAACGCCCCTAGTGATGATTTTGCCCAACATGACCTCTTGGTCATACTTGATCGAAAATCAAATCAGGTTTCTTTCTCTAGCGCTAGCAATGTTGACAGCTCGGCGTCGGCAATCAAAAAGAAGGTTCTCTGGGCCAACTCGTCCTCTGTGGTGCGTTCCGTCTGCTTGCGCACGTCATACATTCATTCCATCCATCACAGTAGTAAGGCCTCTCTATCCCCGCATCAGAGAAGTGAGAGGCATGGTAGGCCTAGATAATCTAGACTAGGCTGGCCTATCACACTATGCGTTCTGCTTCACAACTGCTTGTCTGCGCATGATACACCCTCCCCACTCATTTGCTCCGGCCTTCATTGTTGATACACATTGGCTCTCCCATTCTTTGTTTCACTAGATCACCAAGAGGTTTTTGAACAGGTGAGGTTCAACATGGAATAAATAGCCTATGCGCTGTGCACAGCAACAGCGCTATTCTGCTATAACCAACTCACGTGTTTGTCTGATTGCGCTATAGCAGTATTTTATAATACAAAGATAAAGAAGAGAAAAAAGAGGGTTTTAGAATAGTGTCTTTATAACAGACTTCTCATTATTTCAGGACTCGTTATAAGTGGACTCCACTGTATTTAAGGTAGAGTATTTTAGTCCTGTCCCCAAAGAAAGTAGAGATTATCAAGCCATACCAAAATATTTCCACTAAACTGCCATAAGAATCCAAGACTGCATTTCTATTGGGCAACCTGTCAACAATTAATAGTAAACAGAGGAAAACTGTAAACCTATAACAGGCATCAGTGATGTTTATGGGGAGTCAGTGTGTGATAGAAACACCAAGGGCATGCAATTCAAAGGTTGCAGATTTGATTCTCAGCTGTAGGAAAAAAAACCAAAAGCACGAAAGATATATATGTATATTAATCTACTCAACGGCACTTGTCACTCAGCCAGACAATAGGTGATCGACAACAAGGATAAAGTAACTTGTAATGGGAGATATTTCATTGTAAAGCCTTTCATTTGAAGGGGGATGGGGGGAGAGAGGGTGACGACCCATGAGTATAAATGATAACTTTACTTCAAAGTTCCAAGAGTTACTAAATGATTAAGTTCACGCCAGATAGTCAATACTAATGGGGAAGTCTTAGTCTTAACATCAATCAAAAGCCATTAATGAAACCCTACTAAGAGTCAGTGAATGGCTTGACAGGAGAAAACATAGTTTACCTATGTAATATTACAATGCATGGGTGATGACAAATTGGCCTACTTCAGGAAAAGGTAACAGAAGGCACGCAGTCCCCATGCTACCACCTTAGATACCTAAAGAATCATTCCACAAGCCCTTAAGTCATTTATTCTTGAAGTTTTGGAGAAAAAACCCCAAGAAAACAAGAAAACAAGAAATCAGAACCATGACCTCATCACATCATCACTGTTATATGCTGGCATAAAAGTATAGACAATAAAACAAACACTTTCAGCCTTTTCCTATCCTGGGCGGGAAAGAGCACTCATTCTACCTGTGCTAGTGGGTCCCCATGCAGATAATACAGTCAAGTCTACTCTAACAACCACCTGTTCAAGACAATCACGAGCACAAATGACCACTTCCTACTTTCGTCCTGGTATTTTAAAATGCTAAATTACTTAATGACACTGTCAAGATGACCACCTGTCTACAGCAACCACTTTTCTCCTGGCTGTCTTTGACAATTTTGACTGTATTTCTAAGAATCCATGGGTAAATAATTAAGAGGGTCTGAGGGGGCAGCAGCCTGCTGGGGTTGTGAAGTTGGGGGAGGGGGGAGAAAGACAGGGGCCAGGCTGCTTCTCTTCCTCTGTTTGCAGGATGGGCCGTGCCGTCGCAGTTTGGTCCTGGTGCGGAACGAACGACCGCAGTCTCCGCAAGTGTAGTTGCTTACGTTCAGGTGGATCTTCAGATGTTCCTTGTAGACTCGCTGCTTGTAAAACGTCTGTGGGTGGATCAAATTTTTAAAAGATAGTTTGATGAAATTTTTTAAGATAGGCCCTTAAGTTTCACATACGGGCCAAAGTGTTTAAAATCAGGTGGCCCCTGGATCGGAAAAGTGAAGTAAGCAAATGTACATACATAAATGAAAAGACAGACAACTGAGTAAAAACTTTTGTTAAGGGGTTTTTGGAGCGCCAAACTAGTTATAAATAAGTCGTTAAATAATATTCAACCAGTAGCAAAGACATATATGAACTACTGCAAAGCTTGGGTTTCCCAAGAAATGATGTGGAAAACTGGAATTGACAGGATGACTATACAGGTTAAGGTTAAGTCGAGGATTATTGACTGGACAAACAAAACAAAAAAACCAGTGTTTTTTATAAATGTAGGTGTTTTACACACCCATCGACACAATTTATACCATTTAGGAAGCCAGCTTCAACCCTGCCTGTCAGGGCCAACCCTGACTGAGAGGGATACAAAGTCCAAGCAGAAAGACCGAGATACTCGATGAAAATTCTCTCCACACAGAAATTGAGCTCGAGTCTCTGTGCCTGAGGTGAAGCACCTGACTATGGCACCACAGACACTGGTCTCGAAAAAAATCCCCATGACATATTTTTCTTTCACATTTAATAATGCAGAACTCATGATGCACTTCCTTGTCACATAACTACAGACTTTATTCACACACCATGCTGGTAGGTAAGTTCTAACACCTAGCCTTCTCGGATAAGGGTGAAAAATCTTGGAGGTCCCGCGTGCAAGTTGCGTATGTTAAAGATCTCTTGGAGTAGGTACCGCAGACGGCACGTTTTCAAGGCAGACAGCTAGTGGCTGAAGCCAGATTTGGACAACTTCATCCAACTATTAGCTGGTTTTAATTTTTGTAAACACTAATAAAAATGATACCACTGTTTTCTGTGTTTTTCCTTCTCCATGGTGAACGAGAAACTGATACTTATGATTTCATATTTAGTTTTTAATTGACTAAAGTTTAACACGAGAAAACTCGGCCGTCTCGCAATTTTGCGCGCTTAGATTTGGGGGGTACTTGTTTTACATTTCGATTTCTCAGTCGTGAATCATCGAATTTTCTTGCAATTTGAAACATAAAAATCTGGGATTTCAGGAGAATTTCCGGGGAATGTGTTTATGTTTTTATTCCGAGCAGAAAGCATGAGTGGTACGATGTAAAGACAAAGAAAGCATTTTAAAATATGAAATTCGACACAAATCGGGCTATCCATGGCAGAATCATATTCCTAGACATCTCTACCATCAAGTTTATGTGTTTAGAAAAACCAACTACTTTCCATGAAGTAGAAATATTACTTTTTCTGAAGTGGGGTAACAACCACTTTCGGGAGATCGTCATTCTGCCATTGCGGCTGTTCCATCGCCCATTGCCATCCCCTCTGACTTGACCCAATCAGCAGACAATTATATGATGGTTCAGTAAAAGAAACATTCGATAGATCTGTTTATGGCGTCAATTTATGTAAGTGTTATCATAATTTTCTTTTATGATACTTACGAATATCGTGTTTTGAAAAATAAGACTAATCGGCCACCACTTGCCGTGTGAATAGATTGTTATTGTTTGGTGGGAATCACGCCGACCTACATTTCCACCACCTCATAGTGAATTAATTGCGATCTATACAAATGTATCGCTTCGTGGTGGTATTTTTGCTGTCTTTTCAACTAAGAACACCTTATTTATTCTAAATGCATCGAAATCTAAGCATCTCTGGTCGACAAAGTGAAAGAATAAAGCCGTGAAGAGTTGAACTGGGAGTTCTATTTATAGTAACATGTCATCACACACTACTAAACACTCGGAAGGGGGTTACCGGGTGTTAGTGTTACCGATGGAAATGTTCGTAGATCTATTGTTTGGCATTTAATTTGGTAACAAAAAAGGCTAGATCTACGTTCTTGATTGGTGGATATTCAATTATTGAATCAACCAGCCTTTTTACGTATTCTTTGACTTAGTTAGACTTAGATGTCACCTGATAATTGGAGAAATGCTCCCCCCCTCCACTCTTTCTTCCATCCACTAACTGGACACACGATGATACATTGTATTTTTCCCCAGCCACTGGTTTCTTTCTCAGCAAAAATGATAATTAAATCTAGAACTAAATCTATAATTATACAAGATGAACCACGGTAGAACTGTATGTTGATTTAATTCCAATTTTTAAACCCCGAGAGCAGAAATCTTAATTTTCTGAACCAATATTGATGACTTTTTTCACATTATTGTCCATTTCTGAAATGGTTGGAAGGTTTTTACTTTCTATAAACTAAGTCACTGTACAGAGCCTGAAAAGAGCTTTAATTTGATATATAATGCAGCCTTGTAGCACAATTTGTTGATTTTATATGAATTTTTTTCCAGTCAGCAGACATTATAATTTTCACTCAATAATGAAAGGTTTTTGGGCATTAGGGCCCTATTATGGAGTGTTATAAGAGGTTTTAGTAAACAATTTTCATTTAGCCTCGTAGAGCTTGCATTGAGCTTTAATTTTATGTATGATTTAGCCCTGTAGTTTAATTTGTTCACTTGTTATGATGCTTTTTGCCCGAGGATGTACCAGAATTCCCCTAATTTTTTTCCAAGAGGCGTTTTTTGCACCGAAGCCCACTTCAGAGGAGTCCAGAAGGGTTACTTATGGTCAGAGAGGTCTGAAAAAAATTCAGCTAAGTCTATGCATGCATTTGTAATGATTGTGTGCTTTTCACTAATGAGGAGGCAGTTTTGACAAATTTGGAAGAGGTTGAAATAGGGTTCTGAGATCTTAATGACAAATTTTTGCTTTTTTTTTCAATTTTTGAAGGACTATATCTTGGAAACCAGTCTTTCTAACATGCTTTGATTTAGAGATATCAATATTTGTGTTGACAGCTCTGGGAAAAACAAAGTTTTTATTTATTTGGTCATGCACTTTGTATTTTAGAACACATCAAACATGGGTGAAAGTCACAGTTAAAAAGGTTTAGTTCAAAAAGAAAACTTTGAAATAACATATCTCGATTGTTTATTGATGGATTTTTATAATTATTTTTTTAATGTTCTTGTTTTATAGAGTAGATTTGAACCCCTAAGGTTTAAACATCAATATTGTTCAAAAATTTTTTCGCTTGTGGTACCTACTTGGAGGTCCAAAATTGATAAGAGAAGGTTTCGGCCTCCACCCTGTAAAAATTCAAAATTTCCTACCAGCTGAAAATGTATTATGTGTTGTGTGCACTCATATGACTTATTGCAGTTGCAAGCGCCGTACAACACTTTTACCCCCCCCCCCCCGCAAAATCACATACCATGTCACACAATAAAAGACACCAGACATTTACCTTATCACAGTGAGCACACTGGATTACATTCTGTTTGGTGTGCTGCATCTCATGTTGACGTCTGCTGAACGCTCGTGAGAATCGTTCACCGCAACGGCCACACTGCTCATTCTTCACGGGCATGTGGGTATTCATGTGGATCTGAAGATGGGCCTTCTGGCTGAAGTCCTTGCCACAGAGCCGGCACTTGAACAGTTTCTCTTCTGTAAACCATCAGAATCAATCATTATCAGATGAAGATGGAGAGAAGCGGTCTTCATTCCAGAACAAGATGCCTTCCCTTTTAGCGACATAACTAATTTTTTCTTCTTCCAAAAACCTTTTCAGTACTTTATCCGACATTTTTTGGGGTACCCGATCCTATTCTAAGTTAGTTACTTACATCCAGCAAAGAGTAAAAGTAAAAAGAAGTACAAGCAAGGACTCACCATTGTGGGACTTGACATGCTTCCTCAGGTTACTGCTGTCTGTGAACCTCTTGCCGCACGTCGGGCACACAAACTTCTTCACCCTCAAGTGCACAGAGTTTATGTGGGCTTTCAGGTGGGATATCTTGGAGAAACGCCGAGAGCAATGGGTGCACTTGTTATTGCTAGGTTTCGGATGCTGCAATCGCATGTGACTCCGCACCTGTGATAGGAAAAGAAACAATTTAGACAACAAGACATAGTGTGGATTTGTTTTAGGAAGAGTTTTATGATACTTGCAACACAATTAGATCATATAAGTGCTGAAGATTACGGGTTTCAAGATTCTACTATTTTGAAAACGTGGGTCGGCCGAGATATTTGTGTCTTTTCATAACTGGATTGGAATAGATAGCGAGACACTCAAGCCGTATTTTGCGGCTCTCGGACCAGCGCGGCCTGGTCCGCGAGCCACATTTTAAAGTGTTCATACAAGACCTCAGAATTTATTCTCTCTCTGACAGGACAGAGCCATATGGGTGGAGAACATTACAACTTCCAAGACAACCCAAATTCAAGAATTGAGAATTCAATAAAGAAAATTCACTAGAAAAACTAATCATAATATTCTCATGCCTAGTGAACTTGCACTATTACAATATTGATAAAAACAAGCACTTTTTATAGAACTATGAAAGAAAACATTACTATTCGAGCCTTTTAGCCTGAAAAAAGGAGGAATATTTGAGAAAATGAGTTTTACGAAAACTGAGTAAACAAAAATAGCATGCAGAAATTTTCAAAAAAGAGAAAAGTCCAAATAGTCTAAATGGACTATCCATTGCTGAGACTTATAGTGGTTGTCTTAGGTGGACAACATTACTATATTTGAAAAAAATTCAAGGGGAGAAGTGGTATTCTGTACAGGTGATTGTCTTGGACAGGTGGCCACTAAAACAGGCTTAAGAGGGCGGGTCTAGGGCCTCGGGGACTGATTTTCACTCACTCTGAGCATTTTTTACTTTTAGATTATGTTTACACTAGTCGCTGAGTGATGAACATTAACAGAATTCAATTTTATAGGGTTCTACGTTGTGCACTAACATGTTCGATGTTTAACCTTGTTTTTCTCAAAACGCACTTTTTCACCATTTTTCGCTTGTATATGCCGGGGGGGGGGGGGTTTCTCCACCACTTTTGTATTTTTCAAAATAGAGACTAGAAATTAGGCATGAATTTAGAGAAATGGTTTGTGCTTGTAGTGGGCTGGTTAGTTTTGCTTTAGAATATTTTTTACAATTTCTTTTTTAATAAGAAAAATATTTTTTCAAGATTCAATTTCATATCCCCAACTTTGAGAACGATTTTGGATACTTCCTAAGTATAGTATCAAAAATCGAAATAGCCAGCTGTAAGCACCTATTTATTTGTAACATTTTGCAAGTTATAAAATTTTAAAAAGTTAAAAACTGTAGAATTGGTGGAGAATAAAAAAACCCTACTATTTTCTATACAATTTTCAAAATGGCTGCCATTTCCATGGCAACAGCTTACGTAATCAAGTGCTAACAGTTGAATATGAACAATCTATGGGTGGATTCCACGTACAGTTAGTCTGGACAGGATTTTTAACTGCAGCCATGCTTGCAGCCAACTGCAGTTGGTCGTTTAGTTGAAGGTAAAATAGCAAACTTTTAAACTGCAGTTGGATTGCAGTTAATCTCATACTGATACTGCGTTCGCACCAAAATAATTGATACTACGTTTGCGCAAAAAAAAAAGGTCACCCGGTTTACTACACACTGAAGTGTTTGCTTCAGGTTCATATTGCTGGCAAAATTCTACAAGCCTTCAATAAGCTCTCTCTCTAGCATACTTGTTACTACATTGTTTGCTTTTTACTTTCCACAAGCATTCTTCTTGACTATTGAGGTCAATAAACTGCAAAACAGTACCTTTATTCCATGACGCGATAATGAATCGACCTTCTACTGTCTACTACACACTGCACAGATCTACTGGAGTTGAATGGTGATATCAGACATGGCCTTGACTAATCGACACAGCTAACACACCTCCACCCCAATGATGCATTTGATGCATTAATTATATACATTTTTTTTAAAAATGAAATAAAACAAGTCGCTCACAAGCCATTTCGTCAATTTTGATATGCTGAATCCGAATTTGATGTTGTTTTAGTACTAGGACGTCATTTTCAATAATCTTGTTAGCAAGTGTGGGGTCTTCGCCTGAAGAAATATCAAAGGTGAGCGGCAGCGTGCCTCGACACAGCCGCTTCTTCATTGACGTACGATGAAAATATTTAGCTCGCCAAATATCGCCGTCTGCAGTTGGAACGGAAGGCTGATGCAAGACTGATGATGTTTTTCTTATCACACGCTATGACCTAACTGCAGCGAGGCTGCAGTCAAAATCCTGTCTAGACTAACTGTACGTGTAATACCCGCATTACCGCCTGTGACAAAAATTGTTTCAGTTTGTCTTTAGCTTAAAATGTTCTCCTGTAAGTATCGAGCCCCCTTATATCTACATATCTTCTCAAGATGAACAGATGAGTAGTTATCTCAATCATTAAAAAATTCCCTTTCCGATCAAACAAAAATCATCAAAACTAAAGAATAAATGAATAAAGGCACAAATGACTTTTCCCACAAACTCTAAAACAGGTGAAACAGCTGGGATATTTCAAAGCTTTCTCATATGCACCAAATACAGTATAACACAGATAGCTCGAATTTGTCGGGACCGCCCTCGGTGGTTCGAGGGACCCGTAGTTCGAGGGACATCTTACAAAGATAAAGAAGAAAAAAAAACCTGGGACTGCAGGCACAGTTCAATGAATGCGTTATTTCGAGTCTTCTGTGTTCGACCTGCCCGTGCTATACTGTATATACATTTGCTTCCCTGTCGTTTACAGATAATTATGCTGATGGCCGCACATTTACAGGAATGTAGCCTCCTACAACACCCTTCACATGATGGATGCTGACAGCAAAGCACGGACGTGGGTGGTTGGCGGGTGCTCTGGTGTGGTTAGCTTCTTCTTTCCTATGAAACATCTATCGTCCTTATCTCCCCTTCTTCTTTTTTATGTATGTTACTCTCTTGTGACACCTCTAATCTTCTGGCGCTCATATGACCTCATGCAGTTGCGAGCGTGGTAAAACCTCTCCTAAAACTAAAAAAGCACGGACTGAGTGCTGCAATAAATAAAGAGATTCGTGTACCTGCTGCCTGTCAGCAAACACTGTGTTGCACACAGTACAGTGGGGACAAAGCTGGTGGCGAGCATTCCTGGGTTTGGCGGTGATACCTGAGAAGAGAAATGTGGAAAAAACTCTCAGCTGAAAAAACCCATCATACAGCCCTCTGACAAAATCCTGAAATAAGAAAATTATCTCGAAGTTCAATAAAGCAAATTTTCTCATATGTAAATAAACAAAACATGAACAAAACAATTAGCTGTCTCATATAATTTCTTCCTCTTTGACAAAGGGACAATCCTTGCAGCTCTCAGTAAAACACATTTTTTTCAGCGCAATTTCAATTCACATTTCCTTGTTCTATTCAGGGTCTGAAGAGGGTAATTAAAAGTTAAAAACATAGCCAAAGGTACCAGACTTTTGTAACAGAGGGAATCATTATCTCTCCACATAAAAATAATTCCCCTCCACGTGATACTAAATCTCTGGGATATGCACAGCTGTTTCAGATTGTCAGCTGGAACTTCACTGTATGACAATTACATTCAGCTAGGTCAAGACAATAGTAACATTATATTAAGAGAAGAAGTGAGGTTGTGGTCTATAAAGAGTTGTCATAGTGAAGATTTTTTTTCGTTTTGCTTCATGCAAAGAGAAGCACACTGACACAATGAACGTTATTCAGTAACGAAAAAGTAATATAGACAGACAGAAGGAACAGAGGGGCAGAAAACAAGCAATGCAAACACCCATGCGTTGGAATGACAGTGACTTCAATTTGATAGGAACAAACTTGGAAGAAGAGCAACACTGAAGAGAATTAGAAGAAGTAGACCATTGGAGTGTCCATCAGACACCCATTAAGTAGAAGAGGCCAACCACACACCAGTGCACACACACC